TACTGCTAGTACTACTACTACTACTGCTACCACCAACACCATCACCATGATAGGACTTCAAGAAGGGCTTCCGCGAGCCCCCCGCGGAGTTCATGTTCGACTTGCGCTCGGGAGGGACCAGGCAGAGTTGCGACGGGACTAAAGAGGGGTTTAGGGTTTAGGGTTTAGGGTTTAGTCGGCGTGTCTGCGGCAATGACCCCTGAGCCCCTATATGCCTGACCCCTCTGTGTGTTGTGTCTCTCTCTTTCTATGTCCATGTGTGTTTGTGTCTCGTTGTCTTGTGGAACGAGCTTTGGGCGTTGCTCCTTTTGGGAGGCTCGTCCCGGACGACTTAGCACTTTAGGGTCTCGGGTTCTTTGACCCTTCAAGCCCGAAACCCCGACACCCAGCTTTCAGCGCGTTTGGAGTCTCAATTTGAGCATCCTGCATTTGAGGGATTGGTTGGTCGGCCTCAAGCGATCCTGGGTTTTTTCGGCGTCCTGGAGTTGTTCTGAGTTTTTGGGTCATGGAGTGTTCTGCTGTTTTGGAAGATGCTGGGGCCAGGTGTATTCGCTTGTCGGCACTTGGCGAGACAGTGTCTGTTGAATGTCCAGCACAGACAGTGTTTTGTTTCATCAGCGCTGGGTACCCAACATGAACTTAGAACTTATTTGCGAAACATCCCTACAGAAACGGATTGGGCGAGCACTATTGGTATTCAGGTTCCACAAAAATGAAAAAGGCCCCTTGGTGTTGCCGGTTCAACTTGCGATAATTCAAGCCTTTGCTTAACTTTGCCTGCCAATGTTCTATGCAACGCTGAATGTCAGCTGTGCCTGGTGGCCGAATGTGATGCCATGGACAAGCATCCTGGAGATGCCCCAGACCCTAAACGAAGCCGACAGAAAAAGGAGCCCAAACAGCCTAAACGTGATCGCTACTGACATCCTTCAATCTAAACTCCCTACGAATGAGCAGGGTTCTATCCAGCACTTTGATAGAACCTTGCCCTTAGGGCAGGAGCCTTAATAATTAGAGTAGGGGTTTGGGGTTCCTTATTAAAACTATAGTATAATATACTCCCAAACCCTATTCTAATTATTAAGAGCCCATCCAATCCCAGGCTGAAAGCTAGAGGCCTCCCCCCCTCGAGAGTTCTGAAGTGGTATGATTCGTACAAACCTCACTTGGGTACTTCTCTACATTAGTGTCCCTTGCCAGGTCCCCCCCAATATGACGGCACCCTCATGAACCAGACCCTAAACGGGACCCTAATTGTGAAAACAACCCCAAACCCTAAACCCTGAACCCTGAACCCTAAACCCTAAACCCTAAACCCTAAACCCTAAACCCTAAACCCTACTCACTTTGTAGAGGCCCCAGAGGGCCCAGGCTTTAAAGGCTCCGCGAGCCTCCGCGAGCTGAAGAACCTGAGACCCAGAAGACCTGAAGAATTAGGGTTGAAGGTTTAGGGTTTAGGGTTTCGGGTTTCGGTGAAGGCAAAAGGATGAGAAAACAAAAGTGAGGCTACTTGGAGGTTCATGGGTAGCTATAAGTGGAGTTATAAGGGTTCCTTTAAAGGGTTCTATAGGGTTTAGGGTTTAGGGTTCATGGGTAGTTATAAGTGGAGTTATAAGGGTTCCTTTAAAGGGTTCTATAGGGTTTAGGGTTTAGGGTTTAGGGTTCATGGGTAGCTATAAGTGGAGTTATGGGGTTCCTTGAAGGCTTCCTTTAAAGGGTTCTATAGGGTTTAGGGTTCATGGGTAGTTATAAGTGGAGTTATGGGGTTCCTTGAAGGCTTCCTTTAAAGGGTTCTATAGGGTTTAGGGTTTAGGGTTCATGGGTAGTTATAAGTGGAGGTATAAGTCCTCTAATATGGGTTATAAGTACAGTTACCCTACTTCTAACCCCACTTATAACTACCCATGAACCTCCAAGTTGAGCTTGGTGCCAGGGGTTCCCATGCCAAAGGCGAGACTGAGAGTGGGCTTAGGGTCTAGACTGAGCCTGTGTACTGGGCTTAGGGAGGAAACTCTTGAACTCTTGGATTTCAATCTGGGCGGGAGCTGGGAATTCAGGAGGCCTCCTTTGGGCTTTGCCTCGTTGCAAAGAGAATTTCAGCATTCACAGTCTCGAGTGTCTTGCGAGATCCGCAAAGTTTCTTCAGCAAGATCTTCGGAAACCGGAAACCGCAAACCTTCTTCTAATTTCGGCTCCGTAATTATCGCTATAGTAGGCTTATACCAGCCCCAGAGGGGAGACCTTCTTTTCGGAGTTCCGAGCGCTGGACAACCGGACAAACTCACGAGGAAAGCTACAGCTACAGCTAGGGTGCAAGATGCATGGTTTTTCGTTTGGACTTCCTTCTTGTCCACGTGGGGCTTCTCGAATAATGGTACATCAGGTAAACTTCTGCTAAAGCCGCTATAGCCAAGGCTTCCTTGCAACAAGTGGGTTTCTACTTCGACAAGAGCTAAGGAAACGGACAAGCTTCAAGCGTGTGGAAGCTCTCTTGTTGTCAGTCCTCCCATTAGTGCACTGCTGCGCGCCACAAACCTGCGAATGTTCTGTCCGGCGGGCGTGTCAAACAGGCTACCAGCGCTGGTTCAACCCATCAAAGAGGAGTACAGCCTTTGCGCCCGGGTCTCAGCCGCAGAGGGAGACATCCCCTTTGCTTTGATTCAGAATCTTCTAGGCACTGCCTTTGCTGCTCCATTGCTCTTCTTGTTTACGGGACTTGCTACCGGGCTGCGGTATGCTCTACCGACGACGCTCGAAGGGCCTCCCTGCGACGTCCTGTGCGTGTCTTCTGTTCATGTAACAACACTGATCACGACAATTTTTAGTATCGTGTTAACAATATCGCTAGTACGGACAATGCTCCTCTTGGTGATGACGACTGCACTCATAGAAGTAGTAGTTCTTAGAAGAAGAAGTGGTGGTGGCAGTAGTAGTAGTAG